AATCGAGGCTCTTCTCTGGCGAGCTCCGCGCTCCCCTAACAAGACCGATCGATTGAGGGACGGGAATTTTTATTGAACTCATGAGTCGAACATATGTACGCTTCCGAATACGAAGCGAATGCTCGTAAAGAACGGAATCCACTCCCTCGTATCCTCAGGTACGAATGAACAAGAATGCACGGCAACGTGAGTCCCTGCTTGAGAGTCCGTCGTCATCGCCTTCTCCCACCGAGCAAACTCCCAAGGAAGCTTTGGAAGGGATTGCCGTACGCGGAGCTCGGATAGTTACCCGGTGCCCCGTTCCATTGACCTTGCCCGGATCCTGCGCCTAACCTTGGGTCGACGATGCCGTCGAAAAAACCCCCTTGCGCTTTGTAGCTCAGGGTGGAACAGGCTCCGTTCAAGCAGTAGCCATGAGTGATCCGTCTGTTTGGCGTCTGAAGAGAGATAATACAGCGAGGTCATAACACGCTCGTTCTGAAATTCCGAGCCGAACCAGCTCCCGGATCAAACGCTTGATAACTCACATGCACTTGGCACGCCATGCCGTTCGCGAACTGGACTTGCACAATTGTGGGTGTACTCCTGTCAAGACAAGCAACGGTGCACCCATACGGCATCTGAAAACAATATCTATCAGGAGTGCGTCGTACACGTCGAATACCGTCGGTGAGACTCGAAAATGAGTTTCAGTATGCTACGGAACTTGAGAATGCTCATCGTTACCAAAGCCATGTAGCTCGGTGAATTCTGGTTCAGATTCAGGGCTCCACGACAGTAATCGTTTAGGGAGGCGTTGTATGCCACGCAGATCTGATTGAAGCAATACCTGCCGTAAATTGGAGGGTAAATTCGTTTCCTCATTCTGACATCTACCACCGCATTCTTAGAAACCTAATGGAGCAGCAGAACGAATGTCACGGCCCAAAACCTAATCACCTTTCGCCTTCTGGGTCGCTCGGAATCCTGCAAGGCGCCCCATGTGGCTTCGCGACCATCCAAGCCGCTTGCTGATTTTGACAGGTGACGGCGCATGGGTTGCTCGGCTGGTTACCGGAAACTCCTAAGAAACCTCCCTTCGGGAGCATGAG